ATGTTGCTTTTATTTTCAATATCAAGGCTCTTAAATTTTGAAGATGTCATCGTAAATTCTCCATGAAAATGAACTGCAAGCTTACTTCTAGACTTAAATTACCACATTATTTTTACATAATGACATTTTGCTCGGAACACTTATTCATTGTAACTTTGTCGGTTGTAAACAACGAATGACTTGGTTGTCGGAAATTTGTTTCAAGGCTTGCAAAAGTTATTAAATGATCGTAGCTAAAGATGCACTATACAAATATGATTAGAATATTTTTCATGACTTCAAGCATCCAATTAGCTTCAAGAAGAATTTCAAGAAAATTTTAAACCAAAAAATAGAAGCAAAGAATTTTAGTCTTGACATTCTCCACATCATGCTAGAGATCTTTTGAATGCTAACTTGTTCAAGCTCTATACATTGGAATTATAGATGAGTTTGGTTGCAATACTTGCCTAAACTAGAAGTTCAATATTTTGTCTTCATGACATGCATTTTTAGAAGTTGATTGCAAGTTTTGGAGATTTTGCGATCTCTTTGTGTTTAAGTTGTCAATGTTGAAAGATTATTCGTTAAATCTAGTTGGACATGTTCTTCTTTATCATATCATATGACTTCAAAAAATAGAATTATATTCATTCATAGCATGATTTATGATTATTTTGTCGGATGTCTTTGATTATTGTTCCTGTGTACAAATATAGTTTTCTCATAAATATTGATCCATATAAGATCCACATTTGACTTATAGAAGCAAAATTTTTTATAAAAGCATGTAGTTATCATCATGAGTTTTTTCTATGATGGACATATTTTTCTCATGAACTATTGATGATTTCATTGTGTTTTACAATCTTCCAAGCACTTTGCTAATTGGTGAAAATTTGCAAAATCTTGTTTATGAAAAGATCTAAATAGAAGAGAATCTACATATACCAATATATTGATCATTATCTTCTTTCAAAGCTAGATATATAACAATGTGAGTATGACAATTGATGACTCAAGACCTCATATATAAATTAAGTGTAACTTTCACATGTAATTGTTTTTTTCTGGCTAGATTTGATAGCAACATAATAAAATTAAAACAAAATTGAACATGAGAAATAAATCATGATATTGGCAAGAAAATATTCAAAACATTAGCAAGGTGACAAGGACTTTGTGGCCAAGATGGATCAAAAATCATTTATTAATCTTAAAAGTCAACAGGTTTTTTTTTAAAACAAATTTGATGAATATAGTGACGTAAGCATTTCAAAATAAAAACTGCGTAACTATATGAATACTTAAAGATGCTTTCACACAAAGTCATGTTTAAAATATGTAGTGAAAGTAAAAAGTCAAGCCTGTGTATGGTACAAAATGATACATGTTAGAGAAGAATATGAAAAGGTCATGAGGTAATTTCAAGCTAAAACTCAAATGAATGAAATTAAGTTTTGTCGTTGTGACAAACAACATACACAGATTTTGCATAATTTGTGTACGCACAACAATGATAGCCATAAAACATCATGTGAAATTGGCTAATATACTAGAAACCATATAAAAAATGCACGAAGATTTATAAAATGAAATTTATGTTAAGATTTAAAACTGTGCTGTTTGTCAACAAAACAGGAAAATTAAATAAATTCCAACCAATTCATTACAATATGTATTTATTACATAACAATGATGAATTGTGTTATAAAAATTTTTGGATCAAAAGTATTTAAAAAATTAGGGAATTATTTATTGATGTTTATTTAACAACTTGAGCAAAATATTTGTTAAACGCGCTCAACAAAAATAATAAGAGCCTCACAACTTGTTTAGTTATATTCAGATGTAGTTTAAAAAACCATGATTCAAATAATGTTTTGATAATTGATGTAGTTATTCATTTCAATAATTTGTTTGGAAAAGTCTTGTTTGGTTTTTTTAAACATAACTAGTCATGTCAACAACATATCATTTTTAAAATTGATGATCAAACAAAGATATTTAAAAAACATGTAAACAACTTTTTTATGTGTATTAGATAAAATCAGATTAAAATAACAACATGAGTGAGATATTCTTATGATTCTTGTGGATTTGCGTATGGATTTTGTTATTGCATTTACGAAGTTGTTTTAATTTTATGTTAATATGATGCTCATTCTATAGTTTCATCAAACTTATCATGTTTGATGAAACTTCCAAACATGATTTTTAACCAAAACAGTTAACAATATTGTGGAAGATATAAAAAAAGTTGCTACATCAAGCTAAGGAAAGGTTGCAAACTGCTTAAAATGGGCTAAACAACATACAAATACTACAAAGAGTTCATTTTTGTTAGAAGTAATTATGTTTGATTATCTAAACAAAATTCATCTATAGAAGTATCATCAAAGCTTGATTGTAATTTTATTGATTTTTTATGATATTGGAAAGTGTTGAGAATGAGTCATACAAGTTATAACTTTTGTCACATATGAATAACATAATGTATTTCATGTCATGATTGTAAAAATATGTACCAGGCCAAAATACATTCATCATCATTGCATTAATTATCAATCTAGTAGCTAAATCACAAGGATTTTGAGGTTGAAAAGTTCTTAAAAAACAAATAAATATCATAAATATCTGAAATGAAGTATTTCATTCAATTAAAAAAAAAATCATTGTATATGAAGCATCAAATGTGAAAGATGTGTAATATTTTTACATAAGTTTAACAAATGAAGAGGTTATTTTAGATAAAAGTAAATTTTAACATATTGTTAATTATCTATAGTTTCTACTCAAGCGGTACTTCTAATTCAATACGTAAAGAATACATGTTTGAGTTAACCAAAAAGTCAACATTTCATGTGTTGTTAGGTAAAGTTTGTGTGTGTTAGTTAATGAGTTAATTAAAAAGCAAACACAAAGAAGATGTGTTTGTTAGATATATCCGCCATGTGATCAGACCTCTAAGAGTGAAATGAATGGTGAGTATGTAATTTTATCTCCTAGAATATGTTGGAAAATATTGTAAAAGGTATAGAAAAAGTTAAAGATCTTTGGGCTTATACGTTTGTATTTCGTCTTTAAGTGAAATTCTCTCTAATCTTTCATTGTTAACATTGAAGATGAGAAGTATGTATGCTGGTTAACAACAACATGTACATAACATGTGTGCTTGTTGTTTTGAGATAGACATTCAATTTCATTGTTAACATCTTGAGCCTTGCACAAGTACTATTTTACTATAAAACTTAAACAAGAGTTTAGTGAAGTGTGACACAAAGTTTATGTATGTCATTAAAATGTGCAATTCTCCCACATTTGACTTCTTGCAATTCAATCACTACTACTTGCCAACAAACCACAACCCTTTTGCGGGGTTCTTTGAATACAATATGAAACAAAATATATTCTTAGGATTTTTGAGACAAACTGCTAATCACTAAGTGGAGTCTCAAGACCCTAACTTCGACATAAGTTCTAAGTGATTTAATGTCATTACATGTTGCTTGAGCCAAAAAAGGTATCTCCTTCACTATGGACGTTTAGGATAGTTTGCTCCGCGAGAGTCGCGTGTACTTTCAAAACTAGACCATATAATGATTCCAATTGTTGGACATTCATCACAAAAACCAAACTCATAAACACAAAATATGTGATTCATTTCTGCAGATTATGTTCACGACATGATTTATTGACAAAACTTATAGGTTTTAGTGAGAGATCACATATAAGTGATCTCACTTATATGTAGTTACATACTAACTTAACTAACTAAGATCAAGCTAACAAGAGTTGAATAAAACTCAAGTTATCGTCGAACATGTTGTAGTGTCATTAATTGGTTTGTAAGTTGTTTCCACATATTTTAGTATCATGTTTGATCAAATAACAAACATGTTGATTACTTACATAAATCAAAGTCTAAAATGTAAAAATGTTGATGTTAGAATTTTCAAGAATGTTTCAAAATATGAAAACAGGTAAAAAGCCTATCAAGTTTTAGAATATTTCTTATCTACATGTGTGATTTGAGACTCAAAGCAAATTTAAAACTAAGATCATTCCAATTTTATTGAATGATCTTAGTTTTCTTGAATAATATTTTTTATCAAATATTTTATAGTGATTTCAAGTCTGTAATCCGTTTGAATTTGATACTTACCCACTATATTCACTAAAATGTATCTGAACTGTATAATAAATGTGTATTAGGCATACACATTTATTAAATAAGTTATTTATACATTTTATTTGAAAAAATAAGTTTTCAAGGATTCAGGGGAGTATTGTACTTGCGCAGTCCTGTTTTCTGGAAATGGTTTTTTACCGTAAGGTCATTGTATATCGAGGAGAGCTTTAAGGTTTCATTTCTTATCACAGCCCTTAATTTCCACACACATTTTTAACGCGAGGATGTTTTGATAACGCAGTATTAGATGTATTCTAACTGTTAAGAGGTCTTTAACTGATATTTTGATTTGTCGTTTATTTGCATGAACTAAGTAATATGGCATTAAGTAACATGACATAAAGATTTGAAGATCCCCTCAGGCCCAATTTATTGTTTCAACTTTGGTCAACAAGGGGTATTAATATCTCTGAGTTTTGATTAGGGTTCCTTCAGAGTGAAGGTTATACATCTCCTAAATGGGCTGTGTAATATATCGCTGGATGAAAGAAGTAAAATCATGGAAAGGAATTTGAGATGTTCAGATATTCCTTTCGTGGGGAATGAATGCTTCCGTAAGTAGAATTAAGGTCACTGCGACCAGTTTCAAAAACTTGTTATAATAGTGAAGATTATCACGAAATTATTCCCATCCCTAATTCAAGTTCTCTTTAGTGAGTCGAATGTGTGAAGTTACATCCCTTGGTCGACGTCCGAAATAAGGGTTAATCCTGACCATTCAGTTGTTTGGAATGATTGCAGCCGTTGGAGGTGCGATCCACACACCATCATCAAACTTCTTTCGTTGCGGATGTTAGATCCCCGGGAGAAGGCGGCGGCCTTCCCGATCAGTCTCAGTGTGTGGCGTCGCTCGGAACCTCTTTCGTGCTACTGAGGCGGCGAGTAGTGTTAGCTTCAGTTTGAGGTTGCGCAATCTGGTCCTTTGTGCATCAAGAGACTATCATAATCGTTGGACGGGACGGCAAATCATAGGACTGGTGATTGGATTCTTTGTCTAGAGCCGTTGGTGTGGATCGATCGAAGGAAGTGATTGAACTCTCAGAGTGCCTTGTACGCATCGTGTTTGAAGGCGCAACCTCTTTGTATTTCTCTTGGGTTGTTAAAACTTGAACAACAGTCAGTTTTGTGTCCTAGTTGGTCGCCTGATATGGACACAGATCAAGGTAAGTTGTTTATCGGGGGAATATCATGGGAAACCACCGAGGAGAAACTGCGAGATTACTTCAAAGCGTACGGGGAGGTCGCTGAAACGGTCATTATGAAAGATCGGGCAACTGGCCGTGCTCGTGGCTTCGGTTTTGTCATTTTTGCGGACCCCGCTGTAGCCGATCGTGTCGTCAACGAGAAGCACACCATCGACGGGAGAACGGTAAGCAGCAATCGTCACGTTATTTCAGATTTCTGCATTCAGTGTTGAATTGCTTCGAAGCGAATCTAAACAACACGGGGTTTTGGTTAGTCTTGGTTTGACTGTTTCTGTTCTCTTACCCAAGTAGGTCGAAGCGAAGAAGGCTGTGCCCAGGGATGAACAGCAAAATGTCCCCAGAAGTAGTAGTGGTGGTCCGGGTCCGGCTAGTCATACTAGGACTAAGAAGATATTTGTTGGTGGCTTAGCATCTACTGTAACCGAGGACGACTTCAAAAAGTACTTTGAGCAGTTTGGTACCATCACCGATGTTGTTGTCATGTATGATCACAACACCCAAAGGCCTCGCGGCTTTGGTTTTATCACCTTCGATTCGGAAGACGCTGTTGAGAACGTTCTTCAAAAGTCATTTCACGAGCTCAACGAGAAGATGGTGGAAGTCAAGCGAGCTATACCAAAGGAGCTCTCTGCTGGTCCCGGTCGTAACACCACGGGTTTCAGTGGTGGTGGACGTGGTGGTAGCTACGGCAGTGGTTACGGTCAGGGTTACAGTTCTAGCCCAGGTGGATACGGTGGAAGAGGAGAAAATCGTTATGGTCCGAGTCCTGGCGGAAGAGGTGGCTATGCAGGTTACGGAACAGCAGGGTACGGGACAGCTGGTTATGGAAGTAGTGGAGGATACGGAGGTGCCATGAATGGCAGCTACGGTGGTAGTGGTTATGGCAACAGTGCCGGATATGCCAGTGCTGGTGGTACTGGTTATGGAAGCGGGAGCTATGGTAACACCCCTGGAGGGGGTGCCTATGGAGGTGCTGGTGGTTATGGGAGCAGCGGTGCCGGATCCGGTGGTTATGGCAGTGCTCCTGTCGGTAGCAGAAGCTCTTGGGGCAGTGGCGGCACTGGATATGGTACTGGAGGCACCTCGACCGGTTATGGAGGCGGGGGAGGCAGTGGTTACGGAGCAGCTGGCGCTTGGGGCTCAGGTGGTGCGGGTGCTGGACAGGCTACTGGGAGCAGCGGTGGTTATGGGAGTGCAGGTTATGGCTATGGAAGCAGCGAAAGTGGTTATGGATCCAACGCTACCGGTTATGGAGGGCGTGGTAGTGGATATGGCAGCAGTGCTGGAGGTTATGGAAGCTCTGGTGGTGGTACTGGCAGTGGCACTTACGCAGGCGGATATGGCGATGTGTATGGTAGCTCGGGGTATGCAGACCCTACTTGGAGATCAGGCGGTACTGATTCATACAACTCAGTTGCCGTAGGTTCTGGTGGCCCGGGGAGTGGCGGGGGATACAGCATGGGTGCAGCTGCTGCAACAGACGCCGCTGTCAACGGATCAGCAGGCTACGGAGGGGGTTACGGAGTCGCTGGAAGACAGACTCAGCGAGGTCCTGATGCACGCTTCAGGCCCTATCCTGCCGCTGGTGATCGCACTGGCTAGTAACTGCATGTGACGTGCAGGTGTAGACAGATTGTCAATAAGGTCGTCTGCTTATTGAACAGTAGATTTCAGCTTTAGTTAGCGTACACTATCGTTGAAACGTAGCCTCGGCTAATTCCAATTTTCAACTGGTTGAATTGAGTTATTCTTAGTTTCGTGGGTTCTGATAACGCATATTGCGCCTGCCGGTGTGTTTACATTAGCAGCTGGGTTGCGTTCATTAGTGACTAGACTAGCTTGTACTTAAGGTCGTCGTCCGCTCCAGCTTGTAGGTGTTATTCTGGTAGGTCTGTCATCGCACTTTTGTCCAAGTAATTTGTCCAATTTGGGTCTTTTAGACCTTCAGTCCTGGTGTTTAGTGGGGTGTTTTTGCTCCTCCAGCTATCGGTTCATGTCGTGGGCTCTGGAGAAGCTGGAGTCGAGAGGAAGGAAAGGTTTAGAAAGTTGGCGTTTAAGGGATGTTTATTATCTAAATCTTCATTGGACATTCGGTGTTGTAGAGTCAGTGTATGTTACAATGGAAGCGGCTCGGAGGTGTTGACAATGTTGGGTGTCCTAGAAGCCTTCAGTTCATCTATAGACGCAGCTGTACTTTTATTAAGTTGTGAGAGATCCGAGTCTTTTTTCGTGGAGGGGATTTGACGTTTCGTCTATTAGTCTAAATGTCATAGTTTGTCGCGCACATGTAATCTGGTTGCTTTTACCTGAAACTGCCCTATTTTACAGGGGTTGCTGCTTAGTGTCGGTAGGACGCATTATCGACTGTGTAACACCAAATTGGAGCGCACACTGCCGAGCACTTGGGTGGCGATTGTGATTTGGTGTGTTGGTCCAAACGAGCAGCAGTTTAAAGACGCTGAAACCGTGTTGTGCATCAGCGATTGTTTTACTGATCCTTGGTTATCTTCTATTTGACTGACGTTTGTTAGTTGGTTGGTTAACGGGAAGTCAGACCATCGGATTGGAATGTACTCACCAGTAGGCGGCTCGAACTCCAGGGCAGCTGTAAAATAGGCGCGTAGTCTTTCACTTTCAGGGAGGCTTCGATCGCACGTATTGCGCTGAGTCGGGGAGTCGTACGTGGTCAGCAGAATGTTTAGGAGACTCTATAGGGTGGTTTTTGTTTGTCAAACTATTTCAGTTTATCATGAAGGCTGGATCGGAGGAAGACAGTATGACCCTTTGAGCATGCCGTAATGGTCTAGTTTCCATGTCCACACACGGAAGAACTACGAGGAGTTGTGGTCAAAGTTACCTAATGCTGATCATGTGAAGTGATCCTCAAGCAGCGATTGAGTACTGGTCTCCGGATTCGCTGCAATTAATTTGCACTGAAATGTCAATATATCATATCAATGGTGAAATATCATCCCGTACAAGATGCATAGGAGTTGAGGACTCTTTTTCTTCGAGTTTTCAGTTCAGCGCCCCTGTAGATCAAAAGGATGAACGCGAGTCGGCGAAGGCAGTTGCTTACTTTTGGGAGTTCTTCGTGCTCTGAAGCGTAATATTGTTTTTAAGCGTAAGAAGTCATTTGAATTGGTGCACCCAATTGGTGCTCAGAACCTTGGTATGTATCATTTTAGACTGAGCAATGTTTTTAGGTCTTCCTAAATTCGCATGGCTGACCTCAATGTACTTCTACGACACGGGGTTGGGGCCTCTGTTGCCGGTGTATATCGTTAGAGAGAGTTGTCCTTATTTTTGGGTTGCAATACCTCCTTCTTCTCTAATTCATGTATTGATACCGATGGTATCTTTTATGTTGAGTTTCGGACAGTTTCTGAAGATGATTCTTGTATTACTTCATTGAATCGCTGAGTCTTGCAGAAGAAAGTCGAAACGTTGTATGACATGCCTTTAAAGCTTGTGGACAAATTGAAACCTGTTTCGTTGAGATTATCGATCTGCCAGTGTCGGGTACAGGCTCTGTGTATGCTACACGTGCAGATTGTACCTTACCTTCATTGACTAGCCGATCCTGTCGTTAGTGCCGAGCCTGTTTTAGAACATTGCAATTTACGTTGGGAATTTCCAATGGTAGTGGGGTTGTCGGTCTTTGCGTAGTCTCTCTGTTTGAGGATGATGCTCTATCTCTCTATCTGTATGTTAACGAAAATGGAAAATTCCGAGATGTTGCAAATATTTCAATATCTTGCAAATTCGTTTAATACGTTAAGTAGGTAATTACAATTTTAAGACGTAGAATATATGGTAACATTTACTGATAAGTTGTGAAAGGATCGATATTATCAATGTCCTCTATAGCAAAACTACCAGACAGTTGACAACTTATGTCGTGAATGGAACGTGTCACTTAACAAATGGATCGTTTTTGTACTTGCTTACATTTAGCTGCGTACCGTATGTTAAAATGATTACTATTCTTCATCAAATTACTTTGTGAAGCCTTGTTCTCGAGTCGTGTGTGTCGTCCTTTAGAATTTAAAAAGGTTTTTACTTTCTTTACTTAGTGCTTTGGTACCTTTTACTAATCACTTTTACAATGAATATCGAACTTTGAAGAATGGTAGCGATATTTCTCTGAGAATGGCATTGATATTCTCAGAGAATGGCATTCAACGCAATGAAGCTCTAATTGTGAATGTAGGGTGAGGCCGTTGTTGGATTCGTTGGAATGGATTCAATATGAACTTACAGTGGAACGCAGTGGGGGTCTATCGCGAGTCTTTGTGTTGAATAGTGGTTGAATCTTTCTTATCCCAACGGAGCTGTGATTGTGAATTTGTGAATTTGTGTTTGGATATCTGTTGAATCTTTCTCGACCCAGCGGAGCTAGGACAGTAAATTTGTGCTGGAATTGTTGTTGAATTGGTTGGAATTGATAGATGAGCGCGTGCTAAAACTCAGAATCTGCACCCAAATTGGACGATCGTGGCTCGCGAAGAAAATTAACGGAATACTCTCTCCGTTTATCATATATTTGTATTCATAACGTCTTGACATTGGGTGCTAAAGTAACTCGTAAAGTCGAATTCTTGAACAAGGGTAAAATTTTATTCTCCCTAAATTCTGATTATTTTTATCTCTAATATATTTCTCGTTGACAGGATTTTCAGCACCTTACTCAAAAAAACTTTTGCCAAATTTTTTGACTCAAGAAAAATTCACTTGTATTGGATCTCAACGAGATTATAGTTTTCTGATTGGAAGTTAATGTTTTGTTTAAAGCTACATTTAGATATAAATAACTTTATGCGCAACATCAAAACAAATCAATCATAAATAAAGGTGTATATTGGTGGATATCATTGTGGATTATATTTGATCACATACAATACTTTATCTGGATTGGCCCATTACATCCATGTCGTTTCTTTATATTCAGGAGATTATCATTCAGATTTTCTGAATGATCATTTGAATAATGAATACTCTCCAGTGTGATAAGAGCTGGAGAGTATCCAAAAGACCCAGAGCTGATGCATATTTGGAGCAAACTTGTGCAATACTATGAAATTGTTATGTGCTCGAATCGGCTCAGTTTCGTAACTAATGTTAACACCTTTTAGTTCAAAATGAGCTTTATTGTAGCGCACACGTCCCGTGGGCCATGGACACCAGGTCACTACTTGTAACTTGTTGTGGGGTTCGGGGAGGTTAGAGGTTACAATCGATTATGGCAGCGAGATGTAGCTGCAGCTTCACTGCTTCTTCGAATTCGACTCTGTAGCTGAGCGGTGCACTACGGTGGGTTGTATCTGAATTATTTTTTTGTCTGCCGCTTTAATAGCCAGACGTGTGTCTCACGATACACCGTTTTTGACAAAGTGCCCTGCTTCTGAGTTGGACGACAAGTGCATGGACCAATGTGTGTTTTTACCTTTCGAATCATTCATTCCCCACGTTACAGGACTCTTGAGATACGCATCTGGTCCAGATCAGTCGATGAGATGAGAGCTTCGCCCGAGTCGCAATACTAAGGGTCCCCAAGCGGGTTCAGATAAGGATCTTTGTCCTCATTAGACCAAGTTCCAGATACATTCTTCAGAGCCACCGAGGAATCAAAGGGCTTGTTTTCCTTCGGAATTCTTTCTAACTGCTGGATATTAGGAGCCATATCTGGGCGTGAGTGAGACGTTTATACAATCTTTTGCATTTTTTATACTAATGTCAAATTGCAACAAAAAAAAATGTACTGATGATTATCCGTAATCTAAAAAATGGAAACAATGATCTATGTGGAGTACTGAAAAACTAAGAAAAGCGAATGGATTTTTTTTTTTCTGATAAAAGTATTAGACTTATTTGAGTGTGTACGGTTCCTTCGCTCTTTGATGTGCTTTATGCGTAGGCACGAGACCAATAATCACTTCAGCTTTCGGCCAACACACATTTGAAGGTTTAGTCCTGGGAATTTCTCTGGGTGTGTCGTTTTCAGCACCTCAAGTACTGTGATGAATAAATCCAATATGGTCACATTCTTTTCACATACATACACATGCAGTGCCAACATAAATGCATTCTTCGCTTCATCATATCGTCAGGCAAGTCTCTTAAGCTCTATCACAGATACGGTATCTGAGATACCTAATTATGCAGTTCGCGTTTAGGTTCAGCGAATTTGAGTTTATCTAAATCCTAAGACATGAAGTTTTACAGAGCTTCCAAACTATCAAAAAATTGTCATGATTACGAGAGTTGTGAATTCTGACATAACAACTTAAGAATCGGGATCTCAGTCTTCAGAGAAATAAAAATGTTCATGGAAGATCGAAGTGCCCGTGTTTCGTAGCGTGCACATTAAAGATGAACGCTTGAACATATAGGAGAGACCTATATGTGAAGACCTGTGCCCATTCTTACAATTCTAGATGCGATCAAATGAAAATGTTTGCACCTTCTTGAAACAATCGACAAAGCAAGTGACCCATCCTAACGGCCTTGCTTTTTGCCTCAACTAAATGATGTGTTTCTGTTCGACCATCACTGCAGACATAGAGAGAAAGATTTGTATCCCTCTGCGTCTGATGACAATCATCAGGTCAAGAATTTCGACTTTAGAATCTGTAGTATCACACGCAAACTTAAAAGGAACACTGTGTCACCGTTCACAAGTCAAAATTTTGATGAGGAAGCTTTGATTAGCTAGGTAGGCTAGGAAAAAACAGATTTCTACTTGAAAGAGTTGCTACCGAATGGTTGGATTGCAGGAATTCCTGTAGTCAACCTTGCTTGCTCAATTCATGACTGAAGTCATACGTTTTGGTGTCAGCTAGACGACATGAAGATCCACAAGTTGACATTTTACACATATAATGTTGTGTAAAGAACTGAAGCTCTTTCCACAATCCTAAATTTTGAGTAGTAACAATTGTTCTAATTGTGTACCACAAGTCCACATCCAGAACTAAACTGGAGGAGTACCAGGAATTTCAAGCTTGCAGCTCAGCTAAACTTGCGCTGTTGTCAAATATTTGAATCTCAATGGAACTAGTGTGAAAAAGTTGTCAATTTTAAATTTTGAGTTTAAATTTTGGAGCATGGATTTTGCAGAAGTTATATTTTTGTGTTTGAATGTCAACTGGAACTGAAATTTGGTGAGTTTGTTGATTTTGACCGGACGTACATGTTTGAAAAATTTGAGATTCAACAGAGCTTGTGTGAACAAGTTGTCAATTCGGAGCTTTGAGTTTAGATTTTGGAGCATGGATCTTGCGGTAGCCATATCTTTGCACTGAAGTGTCAATTGGAGATGAAATTTGATAAAATTATTAACTTCAACCGAGCGCACATGTTTGCAAAATTTGAGCCTTAACGAAATTGGTGTGAAGAAGTTTTCATTCAAAGTTTTGAGTTTGTGTAAAACCTTGCAAAGTTGGATTCACGATGACTTCTGAAAACAAGCTACTCAATCTTGTGCAAACGATTGTAGAAGAATTGAAAATGATTTGCTAAGAATTCAAGATACAAAATATTAACTTGATTTCAGCAAAAAATAAAATCCGGAAGTTGAAGATTTTTCACAAATGTTTTGAGAAATTTTTTGAAATTGAAATACATGAAATTTTTGGATCTGTTGATGAAATCTAAGAGAAGGTTGGTTCTCAAGCTTCTACTCTTGCTACTGCTCTTTTGCATGAAGTGGTTGAAAGTGTAGAGGTGAAAATGAAGTCTTATGCTAAAGCTATCAAGTCTGCTCATATTTTTTTTGGTCAAAAGCAAGAGATTGAAAAGGCTAATCAATTTGCTCGTAGAAAGAATGTGAGAATCTCGGATCTACCTGAATCTAAGAAGGAACATGTGAAGAATGTTGTCACCAAGTTCTTGGCTGAAACACTTAATGTTTCTAATCCGAATTTGGCTCAAGCTTTTTGTATTGGCAACACAGGAGCACAACCTACTGCCATTATTGTTAAGTTTGTGTATCAAGTTCAACGTGATACTGCTTTAGCTAACAAGGCCATTCTCAAGGGATGGAGTATTTGGTTAGATCTAAATCTTACAACTCTTCAAGTTGAAGTAAGTAGGAGAGAACTTGCAAAAGTCAAAGAAGCTCAAGATGCAAGTTTTGTCGCTTATCTACATGATAATCAAACTATTAGCACTCAAAGTAGAAGACAATCATCAACCTAGCAATCTAAGAGGTTGAGGATGTTGATGTGGAACATAAGAGGCCTATCTACAACAAAGTATGTGAGTGCTCATCCAATTTGGAAGATGGCGTATATCCTCAACATTGTAGAGACTTG